AGCGGAAGGTGGCGGAAATGGAAGCGAACCGTTACCATGTTCGGATCTGCGGACGGGAAGTTTTGGAGAGCGTGTCGCTCCACGTTCCCGAGCGCCCACGTCCTTGGATTGTTCCAGCCCCCTACCCAGCGAAACAAAGCGACGCGCTCTCCACTCACGAGGCATCGTGTGTCGCTGGGGCCGCTGGGGCGACGCGCGATCCAAAAGTTCCCGACTGCAGGGCTTCTGGAATCGGCCATGTTTTTTGTTCTGGGTACGCCCTCGTCGTGTTTTTCGACAGGCCACCAGCTCATGAGCGCGGGCCGAACACTGGTCGTGCATTGGTCCCCGATGTGGTGGCAGAGGGAGGGACACTGCTTGATGTGTAGGAGGAAAACGATAAATACCGCACCGCTAAACAATATCATGTTTATAGATATGTTTGCGTGTATGGATGTATACACGTGTGTGTACGTAAATATACATACCTAAACACACACATGTATATATATATATATGTACATATGTATATATATATATATGTGTGTGTGTACGCATCTATATGTATATATAGATGCACATGTCTGTATCTGTACGGGTTTCGCCCCCTGCCGCTGGCCCCGTCTCTCGGATAATGGGGTATACAAGAGCTATGTCGTGAGGCTTGGACGCCGTCGTGAAGCAGCGTCGGAACTCCGAACGCGGGCCACTTGAAATATGCAGGTACACATTGAGTACCTCACACGAAAGTATTGCCTCTGAGACGCGAGCATTCTATAAGTTATCAGGAAGTATGATATCAGGGGTGCGAACACATAATTTGCAAGGGTTGATGGCCTCGGAGACACAAATATTGCGTAATGTGCAAAGGATTCTGGCCTCGGGAGCGCGAATACGGCGTAAGGTACGATACATACCGGTTTCGCGGGCGCGAATCTCATGTATGTTTACGTGTCCCAGGACCCCTCAGAAATTCTGAGAACACCCCCAGGTGAAGGTAGCCAGGGCCCTTTTCGGCTCCTCCCCCTCGCGCGGACTTCAACGGTTCACAGCAGGAAGTAGAACACATAATTGTAACATCGGAGATTTGAAATTGGAACTGGAGCAGGGAACAGCAAGCCTAATCCCTTCAGCCTGATGACCCCGCAAGGGGGCCGGCGGATACAAATAGATGCGCATAGATATCTGATAATTTTAATCAAGCAAAACACATGGCCCATGGTGGTTTTTCTCGGCGTGGTCTTTGGGGCTCTCGACCCCGTCCGTGGCAACGTCTCTCGCGCAGCGGATCGTTTTTTTATTGCCTTGGGGCAACCTTGGGGCCTGGGGACGGCCCCCAGGGTGCGAGCATTGCGCGGGAACGCTGGGGTCACACGGCCGACTGCGGTGGCGACCGACGGCCGATGGCGACGACCCATTGTCGACGGCGGCTGCCCCGACCGACGACGGCGACGGCCGACAGCCGACGGCGGCTGCGACCGCCGACGACGGCTACGTTGACCGACGGCGGCGGCGACGGACGACGCGCAGCGGCCGCGCAGCAGTGCGCGGCGGTGGACTTTTTTCCCAGAAGCCAGACATTCCCGGCGAAATGGCGGTCCGCGCGGCTGTCGTTTTGGGGGGCCTCCTCGCCTTGCTGGCGCCGCGGCCGCTGGACGCCCTCCACAGCGTGCAGGAGCCCTTCCTGGAGCGCACCAGCAGCAGGCGGCTGCCTCCTCCTAGGAGGAGGGGGGGGGAAGGAGCAGAAGCAGGAGGAGGCGGAGAAGGCTGAGGAGGAGGAGGAGGAGGGCGGAACGGGCGGGGCGGAGCTCTGGCGCCGTTGTCGTCGTCGTCGTCGTCGTCGTCGTCGCCGCCGTCGTCGTCGTCGCCGTCGTCGTCGCCGTCGTCACCGTCGTTGTCGCCGTCGTTGTCGTCGTCGCCGTCGCCGTCGTCGTCGTCGTCGGCGGCGGTGGCGGCGGCGTCGGCGTCGGCGTCGGCGGCGGCGGCGGCCGTCGTCGGCAGTCCCCTCGGGCCGTCGCCTCTGTCGTCGGCCGTCGGGGCCGCCGTCGGCCCCTGCTGTGCTGGGCTGCCCTGCGAGGGCTGCGCCCGCGGCAGGGCGGGGGTGCTCGGGGGTCCTCAGGGGAGCGGCGCGGAAGCCAGAGAGCCGCTCCTGGGCCCCAGGTGGTCCTCGTTGCCGCGTCTTGGCCGCAGCAGGAAGCACGGCCTCCTCCTCCTCCTCCTCTTCGTCCTCCTCCTCCGCCTCCTCCTCCTCCTCCTCCTCCTCCTCCTCCTCCTCCTCCTCCTCCTCCTCCTCCTCCTCCTCCTCCTCCTCCTCCTCCTCCCCCAGGGGCCCAGATTCGGCCCAGTCCACGTCGGATCCACGTCGGATTCGCGTCGGACTTACGTCGGGTTCGCATCGGACTTGCGTCGCAACGTCGCCGCGCGAAGGTCGTCCCAAGTCTGACGGGGCGGAGGTGCGGACTGGCGAACGCCACGAGTGCGCGCCGCGCGAGTCTTCCAGGACTTTCTCGGGCTGGGCGACAGGGGGGGATTGGGAAAGGGGGGGTTACGAAATTTGCTGCATGCAGCTGGTTTCGGCCTCACCGAGGGGCCCATTCCTCGATACATAGCCGCCTCGGGAAAATCAGCTACGTGAGCTGATTCTCAAATCCCCCCCTTTGCTATCCACCCCTTTCGCCCGACCCGACTGTCCTCGTGGGGAGCGGAGCTGCTTTGTGGCCACGGCGAGCCTCAGCCACGAGCAGTCTCCCCGGGCAGCAATACCGGTGGCGAGCCCCGGGGGGGAAGGCCTCGGGAGCTTCGAGGCGGGGGTCAAGGCAAAGGTTCAGTCGGGCCTGTCCCCCTACAGGGGGATTTTCGACGAAAAATGAAAGATACCCCAAGAGTAGTCCAAACATAGTCCAAAAATAGTCGGGGGGCTATTTTTTGAGTGAGTATTTTTTGACCTTTTTGGGGTATTCTTCATTTTTCGTCGAACATCCCCCTGTAGGGGGACACGCCCGACATAATGCAAAGGGGGGTCGGCCAGAGCGCCCGATCTTGCAGGATCCTACAGGGGCAGGGTTGCATTGACCCGGGCTTGGGTGCAGGATTCTGCAGGATTTTGCAGGATTCTGCAAGGCCTGACTGACTCGGGTCTGGATTGATCCGGGTCAGAAGATCCCCGAAAGCAAATGGTGGCGGGCCTTCTCAGAGGGCTCAGAAGGCCTCTGGCCTCTTGCGAGAAGCCCTCTGGGCCTTTTCCGAGACCAGGGACGGCTTCTCAGAAGGTTGGCGGGCCTCTGAGAATCGGGAAGAAGAAACACATAGAGATACCAATAAACGTCGCTTTTCATTAAAAGAATGGCGAATTTGGGAAGTGGAGGGGCAATCGAAAACCCATGATACGGATCGAAGAAGAAGAAACAATTGCATAAACGAAAACTTGTGGCCTTCGCGAGGATGTCTTGGATCCGCGCTGGGCCCCCTGGCGGCGCCTCCGGCGCCGCCTCTGGCGCGCCCCGCGCGCCAGGGAGGGGGGTCCAGCGCAGATCCAAGAAATCCGCGCGGAGCACCAAAAGTTTGTGTGCGTGCAGCTGTTTCTTCTTCTTATTATTATTATAAGTATTATTAGTATTCGACTTATTATTATTATTACTACTACTACTACTATTATTAATATTATTATCATCATCATTATTAATTATTATTATTATTATTATTATTATTATTATTATTATTATTATTATTATTATTATTATTATTATTATTATTTGTCTTCTTCTTAGTACTACCATTACGACTATTATTCTTATATAACAATACGATTGGAAGTAAAATCGGGTATAGCCAGGACCCCGGGTAAGGGGACCCGGTTAGTGGTAGGGCCCTGGGGCCCCTCAATTGGCCAGATTCACTAAACCAGGTTTGCCGTAACTGGTGTTTTTCGGGTGACGGCAGTTCCGGTTAGTGGAGATGGGACGGGGAGGCGCCCCCCGGCACACATCACCAAACCAGGTTCCACGAAACCCAGTTCTGCCAACGCCCGACAAGAGGATGTATGTAGATTTGTTTGTGTGTCCCTGGGCTTATGTCGGGCGTGTCCCTTTCGCATGTTTGTTTTTTTTTGGGGGGGGTATGTTTTCCTTTGACTATTTTGGGGGTACTTTTTATGGTTGGGGTATGTATGGGGTACACCTTAGGCGATGCTTAAGAAAACTTAAGATTTCGACCAGAGTCTCGATTATTCTTAATGTTTCAATGTAAATCCCAAGATTTTAATAGAAATGTTGGGTTTCTGAGACTATGAATTTCTTAACCCATGATTTCTTAAGCATTTCGCAGGGTGTATGTTTTATTTTTCGTCGAAAATCCCCCTGTAGGGGGACACGCCCGACCTGACCCTGGGCCCCATCAGAGAGGCCCCGCCGCCCTCTGCGGAGGCCTGCCTCCTCTCGGCTCCCTCCCTCGGCGCGCCGCCGACACGAGCGGCCAAAATCGCCAGGGGGAGGCGGTCCTGGGGACGGCCTCCTCCTCCCCCTCCTCCCCCTTCTCCTCCTCCTCCTCCTCTCCCCTCCTCCTCCCTCCTCCTCCTCCTCCTCCTCCTCCTCCTTCCCCCTCCTCCTCCTCCTCCTCCTCCTCCTCCTCCTCCTCCTCCTCCTCCATCCTCCCCTCCTCCTCCCCCTCCTCCTCCTCCCCCTCCTCCTCCTCCTCCTCCTCCTCCTCCTCCTCCTCCTCCTCCTGGCCGAGCTCCAGGGCTCACGCCACGGGAACCCACGACGTCGGGCGCGTGGGCGGGGCTCGGTTCGACTGCTCCGATCCGACTCGCTTCGATGGCTCTCGATCCCGATGCCATCCGACTTCGGGTTCAGATTAGGGGCTCCGACCTCTCGACGGAGGCCTTACTAGCCTGCGCATTTCCGCCGATTCGGTTCAGTTCGATCGCCGATCCTCCCTCCTCCCGACTCCCGACTCCCGACTCCCGACTTCTCGAGCCGATCCTGAGCCCCCCTGCGGGGGGGAGACCCATACGCCTCCGGCAGGCAGACGTTCGAGCACCTGACCGAGCTGTACGCCGGCAGGCTCACGCTGGAGTGGATCGAGAACCAGACCAAGCACGTCAGCCTCGGCAACTACACGGGCCCGACGAACGTCACGGGCATCGTCACGCACGCGGGGAGGCACGCCCTGGACTACATCGACAGCGCCACCATGCTGGGGCTCGTTCTCCAGCGCTACCTGCCAGACGTGCCCAGGTTCGCCATCGCGATCGAGGGCATGGCAGACTGCCACCAGGACCAGCTGAGGGGCGCGGGCTGGAACCTCGTCATAGTCGAGGACTGGGGGGAGGAGCACATCGGCGGCAGCGGCGGCAGCGTGGCCTCCAACTTCCTCGGCCGCTGGGGCGACAGCTTCGAGAAGCTGAACGTCTGGCGATTCCCGCTGGACCGCGTGCTCTTCCTCGACTCCGACACATACGTGTTCAGCGACAGGGTGCGAGAAATCTTCGACACCAAGCTGAATCCTGGCCAGATCGCTATGACCAAGGACGGGTGCAAGCCGGAGCACAACAGCGGCATGATGCTCTTCAAGCCGGATCTCTCTGTCTACAGCGACCTGCTCCGGATGATCGCCCTCGCGCCTGGCGGGAGCCGAGAGATCCTCGACCAGACGCTCATCAACAACCATTACAATGGCCAGATCGTGACGGTAGATACGAAGTTTAATTGCATCGACTACCAGGTCGATTCCCATTGCCCATTGAGTTGCGGGCAGGACACCATCATCGCCCATTTCACTGGCAACCCGAAGCCCACACGGGAGGGAGTTCGCCACGTGGAGCTGGTGCGGTCCCTGAACGGCAGCGAGGCTTGCAAGGGCACCAATTTGGGTGGTTGCCAGCTCTGGCCGAGGTACTACTGCGACATGAAGGATCGGCTGCGCGCAACAGTGACCTTTCGCCTGGGTGACTTTTGCTGGAGGCCCACAGGGGTTCCCCCTGGCGCTCGCGTGCGCGCTTGGATATGGCCTACCCACGGCCCATCAAGCCGCACACCAAAAGCCACTCTCGCCCAGGGTCACTCTTGCGTTTAGCCGACAGGAGAACGCGCCTTACCTCAGCAAGCTGCTCAAGAGGACCCTGAACCAGACGGGCCCGTGCCTGTGGCAGTAGTCGGGAGCTCCCTGCGTGCTTGCAAGGGTGGGCCGTTGGCGTTCGCCTGCCCCTCCCCGCCATTATAATCATTCACCCCCGGCCAACCGCTTTCACCGAATCCCTCATCTTGCTTCATTTCCTCATCCTTCTCCTCCTCCTTCTTCTCCTCCTCCTTATCATCCTTATCATCCTCCTCTCTCTCTCTCTCTCTCTCTGGTCACTTCTCCCTCTTCGTCGAAGTCCTCCTCCTCCTCCTCCTCCTCCTCCTCCTCCTCCTCCTCCTTATCATCCTTGTCATCATCCTTATATCTCTCTTTCTCTCTCTCTCTCTCTCTCTCTCTCTCTTGCTTTCCCATCCCCTGCCTTTTCCTCCTGCACGGTCTCTTCCCCTTCTTATTTCGTGCATCCCTCCCTTTATCCTCCATATCCTTCTCCTGCTCCTCATATTCCTTCTCTTTTCCATCCATCGTCCTACTCATCGCCCTCTTCACACCCCATAGAACCCCTAGAACCCCCCAACCCACCCTAGAAGCTTCCTCTTCCTCCTCATGCTTCCGCCTTCTCCTCCCCCTTCCTTCTCCACTCATTGTCATGCCTGAGATTCTGCTGCTGCTGTTGCTCCTCCCCCGCTCCGCCTCCTCCTCTTCCTCCTCCCCTCCTCGACGTAATCGTCTTCCTCCTCCCTCGTCCTCCTACCCTTGACTCCATCCACCCCCCTCACCTCCCCTCCCCTATGCCGCGCATGTCTGGTGCTCGAGCGCTGCGCTCGCCTGTGACGGCACTCGGTTCGATGTGCCTGGGCCTTGATCTCGTTGGGCCCTATTTAAGATTGATCATTCCATTTGGGCGCCCAGAGGTTTCTCTTGCTCCCTCCTCCTCCTCCTGGTGCTCCTGCTCCTGCTCCTCCTCCTCCCTCTCTACGACTCCCTCCTCCTGCTCCTCCTGTTCCTTGTTCGGCTCCCTCTCCTCCTCCTTCCTCCTTCTCCCTCCTTCTCGCTCCTCCTCAGTACTCCTCGCTCCTCCTCCTCCCTCCTCTTACTCGTATTCCTCACCTCCTCCTCCTCCGCCATCCTGCCTCCTAATCGATACCTCCTCCCTGTCGCGCCACCAGACGTGTCGTTTCGGGCGGGCCAGGCATTTCCCTTGACATTGTTCTCACGTGATCTCGGAGATTCCAATTGTCCACCGTTCGACTGATTGAGCACATCTGGCTTTCAAATTGGGGTTGTCGCCATGGCGTTGCGCACAGTCGTCAGAGTTCCAACAGGAACACGGACGGAGCACAGGTGATCTTCAAGATGGGGTTTCCCGCTCCGCGCGCACTTATCTTACAGTGTTTCACCAGGATGGATAACGGATCGTTTTCAAATTTGAGTTCTCGCTTTGATGCCGCGCACACTCGTCTTAAACACCATAAAGAGCGCGCCCGTCGCACACCTCTTACTAAAAGGGGAGCCCCAGCTTCAAGCTGCCCCCCCCCTCCCTTGGAAACTGTGGGGGGGGGTCCGAAGCTACCCCTCCCCTCCTCCCCTTCCATGGGCATTTTTGAGCTGGGAGGGCCTAGCTAAAAGGAGGGGGAGGCTTGAAAGCTGCCCCGCCCTCCCCCCCTTTTCGGGGCCTGGGGTCAGCCCTTGCTCCCCTTTCAAAGGGGAGGGGGTCTTCCGAAGCTACCCCTCTCCCTTCTGTTTGGATTTTGTAGCTGGGGGGTCCCTGGCTAAAGGGGGGTGGGGCTTGGAAGCTACCCCTCCCCCCCTCCTTTTCGGTGCCCGGGGTAAGCCCGGGCTCCCTCTTCCATGAGGGGGAGGGGAGGGGGGCTTCCGAAGCTACCCCCCCCTTCTCCCACCATTCTGTTGGCTTTTCCAGCTGGAGGGCCCTGGCTGAAGGGGGGGCTTCGATGGTGTTCGGCGCTCCGTTGGTGTTCGGCGTACTTGTGGTTTCGGCGTCGCTTTGGTTTTCGGCGCCTCTTAGGTTTTTGGCGTCCCTTTAGCCTTTGGTGCCCCTTTGGTTTTCGGCGCTCCTATTGGTTTTCTGCGCACCCTTCGGTTTTCGGCGCATCGTTGGTTTTCCGCGCCCTCTTGGGTTCCGGCGCCCTTTGGTTTTCGGCTCTCTGTGGTTTTCGGCGTCCCTTTGGCTTTCGGGGCCCCTTGGTCTTCGGCGCTCCTTTGGTTTTCGGCGCTCCTGTGGTTTTCGGCGCTCCTTTGGCTTTCGGCGCCCCCTTTGGTTTTCTGCGCACCCTTCGGTTTTCGGCGCATCGTTAGTTTTCGGCGCCCTCTAGGGTTCCCGCGCCCCTTTGGTTTTCGGCGCTCTTTGGTTTTCGGCGTCCCTTGGGTTTTCGGCGCCATTCGGCTTTCGACGCGCCTTTGGTTTTTCGCGCCGTTTGGTTTTTCACGCCCTTTTGGGTTTCGACGCTCCTTTGGTTTTCCGGCGCCATTTTGGTTTGCGGCGCCTCTTTGATTTTCGGCGCCCTTTGGTCTTCGGCGCCGCTGCGGTTTTCGGCGCCCCTCTGGTTTCCGGCGCACCTCTTGTTTGCGGCGCCCTGTCCGTCTTCGGAGCTTATGTTGCTTTCCGCGCCCCTTTCGTTTTCGGCGCCCTTTTGGATATCGGCGCCCCTTTTCTGTTTCGGCGCCCTTGTAGTTTTCGGCGCATCGTTGGTTTTCGGCGCTTCTTTTGGTGTTCGGCGCCTCTTGGGAGTTCGGCGCCCCGCTGGTTTTCGGCGCCCCCTTGGTTTTCGGCGCCCCTTTGGTTTTCGGCGCCCTTTCGGTGTTCGGCGCTCCTTTGGTTCTCGGCACCCTTGTGGTTTTCGGCGGCCCTTTGGTCTTCGGCGCTCCTTTGATTTCCGGCTCGTCTTTGGTATTCGGTGCCCTTTGGTGTTTGGCGCCTTTTTGGCTTTCGGCACCGTTTTTGTTTTCGGTGCTCTTTTGGCTTTCAGCCCCCCTTTTGGTTTTCGACGCCCTATTGGTTTTCGGCGCTCCTTTGCTCTTCGGCGTCCTTTTCAAGTTCGGCGGGTCTTTGGTTTTCGGCGCTCTTATGGGTTTCGGCGCTCTTTGGTTTTCGGCGCCCTTTTGGGTTTCGGCGCTGCTCTGGTCTTCGCAGCCGTGTTTTTTTGGGTTTGCGACACACCTTTGGTTTTCGGCGCCTCGCGAGTTTTCAGAGCCGTTTGTTGGTTTTCGGCGCCTCGTTGGTTTTCAGCGGTCTTTTGGTTTTCGGCGCCTCTTTAGTTTCGGCGCCCCGTTTGGTTGTCGGCGCCCTTTTGGTTTTCGGCGCCCCTTTGCTTTTCGACGCTCCTTTGGTTTTCGGCGCTCCTTTGGTTTTCGGTGCCCTGTTGGTTTTCGGCGCACCTTCGGTTTTCGTCGCCGTTTCGGTTTTCGGCGTTCCCTCGGTTTTCGGCGCGCCTCTGGTTGTCGCACCCTTTCGGTTGTCGGTGTTTTTTGCTTTCGGCGCTCTGTTGATTTTCGGCGCCCTTTTTGTATTCGGCGCTCCTTCCTTGTAGCCAAAGGGGAGGGGGGCTTCCAAGCACCCCCCCCCGCTTTAGCCCAAGAGCCCAAGAGGGAGGGGGGGGGGGGCTTTCGGCAGCAGGGGTTCAAAGGAGGGGGGAGGTAGCTACGCCCCCCCCCCCTTGGAAAGACAGGGAGGGGAGGGGGAGCTTCCGCAGCGGAAAAGGGGGGAGGGGGGGGGGGTAGCTCCCGAGGGGCGGAAGGAAAAGGGGAGGAGGGGAGGGGCTTCCGGCAGAGGGGGTTCAAAAGGGGGGAGGCGGGGGGTGCTAAGCCCCCCCACCTTTGGAAAGGGGGGGGGAGGGGGGCAGCCTACGGAGCGCGAGAGGAGGGGAGAGGGGGGGCGCAGCTTCCGAGAGGCAGAAAAAAAGGAAGGGACCCTCCTCCTCCTCCTCCTCCTCCTCCTCCTCTCCTCCTCCTCCTCCTCCTCCTCCTCCTCCTCCTGGGGGGGAGGTCCAAAGGGGGGGGTAGACCCCCCCCCTTTGGGAGTGTGCGACGGGCGCGCTCTCTCAAACAGCAGCACTTACGCGATTGGATGGCGCTGCCATTTCAAATGAGCGTCCCCGTCGGGAACGAGCTCCTTCTGTGATCGCTTGCTGGGTCTCCCCCCAGATTCGACCTCCCCAGACTGGCTCCGGGCTCCGAACCTCGGGGGGGGCGACGTCCGCCACCCCCTTGGTGGGTCCCCCCCCCCCCGGGGGGCCCCGAGGGGCGACGGGTCTCTCGGACGTCCCCGGTCGCCGCTCTCGGGCCTCTCGGTTGGGCCCTCCCCTCTCCTCCGCCTCCTCCTCCTCCTCCTCCTCCTCCTCTCCTCCTCCTCCCTCCTCCTCCTCCTCCTCCTCCTCCTCCCCCCGAGAACCAGGGGGGTACCCACCCTGGGAGGGGGCAAGAAGGGGTGGCCACCCCCTCCGGGCCACCCTCCTCCCCTTCGCAAGCATCCCGGGGGCCGACGACGACAACGACGACGACGATGACGACTACGACTATGACGACGACGACGACGACGACGACGACGACGACGACGACGACGATGACGAGGGGATTCAGCAAGCGCACACGACGGCGACGACGATGGCGACAAGAGGCCAGCACGCACAGACGAGGCTCACGACGATGGCGTCGACGACGAGGACGACGACGACGACGACGACGACGACAGGTCTCGTTTAATATCCCGCCCGCCCGTCATGCGTCTTTGGCGGTTGTAATATGTTGTCCCATGACCTTCCCCCAACACAAAGGAGAGATTGCATTTAATGTCCCGCCCGCCCGACATGAACGCCACATAATTGAGTGAATGGTTCATTTAGTGTCCCGCCCGCCCTAACGGCCTTTTTCGGCGGTTGCAATCGATTCCCCTAAACTTTCTGATTTCACTCAGCGAAGGTTGCATGTAATGTCCCGCCCGCCCAAATTGAACGCCCCTTCACTGACTACACGTTTCATTTGATGTTCCGCTTGCCCGACCAGCGTCTTTGGCGATTGTGATATATTCCCCATGACGTTTTGCCAACACATCAGAAAGAT